TCAGTTGTATTATGATCACCATTTCACCTTATTGCGGGCAGGCGGGTAATCGAACTCATGTGGAAGTGGCTTTAGCTTCTCAGTGCTGTGTTTTAACCCGCTGCGCCACCAGGGAGGGCCTTATTTACTTTTAAAGACAGTCAAAGTAGTGACTAGGAATGCTAACAGCCCAAATAAACTGCAGTCTGACAGAGTGGTCCCTTATTAGAAAGGCAAATTTTGTCATTATTCTGAATCTTTTGATGAGTGCTCTGACCAAGAGCCATTTGATGTTTAAGTCTATTTTTCTGCAGAAGCCACAGCTGGGAGATTTTTTACATTCATAATTATGTTTGGCAAAAATACTGTTATTAGAATTTAATTGTAGCAGATTTAGAGTAGACAGCTGTGATTTTTATTTGTTGTGTTATATGTTTTTTAAGTATTATCATTCTGTGAGCCTATTTTCTTAACTAAGTGAATTAATTAATTCTTGACCCCTTCAACCTTTAAAAAATTTTTTTTAAAGATTTATTTTATTTGTACATACAGAACTGGGGTACAGGCCAGAGGCTCAGGAGTGGCGAGAGGATTCACCAGAGACAGAGCGGGGAGCAGAACAGGCAGATCTACGAAGCACACTGCTGAGGGGAGCAGGGAGCAGCGGGCAGCAGCGGGTGGGTCAGGAGAGGTCTGCCGCGCCATGTGGTCACCTCCGGGGCAGGCGGGGATCGAACTCATGCGGAAGTGGCTTTGGCTTCTCAGTGCAGTGCTTTAACCCGCTGCGCCACCAGGGAGGGCCCAACCTTTAAAATTTTATATTGTGTGATCTTCCAGGTTTTGTCAAGTTATGCCCTATCTTAAAGAAATAATGAAAAGCATCATAAAATCTAAAGGAAATGTTTGTTACTGTGGACTGAGTACTTCTCTAGTTACTTTAATCTGTTTTACTCTGTTAAAGAAAGAAAAAGAAAGCCATCCTTTTGGATTGTTCACTTTTCTTCTTTCATTACATTTTAACAATAAATTTATAGCTTACAAGTGCTGAAGGAACTAAAGTCCCCCAATGAAGGAAAACTGTTAAGACTAAGAAAGTGTAGAACATGAAAAATGTTTGTTAAAAGTGTAAAAATGGTGTAAACAAATGTTAATATGGAATACTTCCAGTTCATTTATCAACATCAGACAAAGATAATGTAAGGCAACTACAGACCAACATTACTTATGAATAGAGACAGATGTACTAGAAAGCTGAATCTAGCAACATCTAAATAGTGGGAACTTATCTTAGGAATGCAAGGTTGGTTTAGAATATAAAAATCAATTAATGGATTATACTGTGTAACTAGAACAAAAGAGAAAGCCCATATGAGCATCTCAATGGACAGAGAAAAAGTATTTGACAAAATTCAACCCCAGTTAATGAAAAAAATACCCAACAGACTAGGAGTAGAAGCATTCTTCTTTAATCTGTTTGTGGCAGTTATGAAAGCCTATAGTTTACACCATATTCAATGGTAAAAACCTGAAAGTTTTCACCTAAAATCATGAACACCCAGGAACAAACATGTCTATTTGTAGTACCTCTCCTCAACTGTTCTAACCAGAGCAGTTAGGAAGAAAAAGAAATAAAAGGAATCCAGATAGGAAAGGCAAAACAAAATTACCTTTACATACAGATAACATGATTTTATGCACATGCATAGACATATGTATATGTATAAAATCCTATTGTATGTGACCCCATATGATAATATGATGTCATATATGTATATGTATATAGGAAATTCTAATGAGTCCACAAAAGTGCTAATTAATTCTCCAAGGCTATAGTATATAAGTTTAATATACAGTAATCAACTATATTTCTATATGCTAGCAATAAGCATTCTGAAGGTGAAATCTGAAAAACAATTCTTTTTATATTATCAAAAGACTAAACTATTTCAAGAAAAATTTAACAGAAATGCAGAATTTTTAATTATAAAACATTGATATCATTAAAAGAAAATAAAGAGAAATAAGTAAATCAAAGGATCCATAGTTCAGTATTAAAAAGACTAGTAACCCAGTTATAAAACGGGCTAAGGATCTGCATAGATATCTTTAAAGAGGATATACAAATTGTAAATGATAAGATGCTCATTTTGTCACTAGGTAAATGCAAATCAAAATCATAGTGAGATACCATTTCACACCCATTAGAAGGCTATAATAAAGAAGATGGACAATTAGAGAACTCCCAGACTTAGCTGGGGATGTAGAATGTCACAGTTGCTTTCAAAAACTAATCATTTCTCAAAACACTAAACATAGAGTTAGCTTGTAATCCAGAATGCGACTCATAGGTGTATACCCAGGAGAATTGAAAATAAATGTAGGTGGAAAAACTTGTATAGGGATGTTCAGTATTCATAGCCAAAAAGTGGAAATAACATATATATCTGCCAGTTGGTGAATAGATGAAGAACTGTGGAATAGCCACATGAGGGAATATTACTGAGCAATAAAAAGGAATGAAAATCTGGTAGCTTATTCTACAGTGTGGTTTACCCTTGAAAGTTTTATGTTAAGTTATAAAAAGGCAGTAACAAAAGGCCATGCATTACATGACTCCATTTATAAGGAATGTCCAGGGTAGACATTTATAGAAATAGGAAATAGGTTAGTACTTACCTGGAACTAAGGAGATGGGAAATGGGAGTGACAGTAATGGAGATGACTTTTATTTGGAGATTAATAAAAATATTCTAGAATTAGATATTGGTTATTGTTGCACAGTTTTGTAACTATATTGAAAGCCATGAATCTTAAAAAGGGAAAAATTAGAAATCCTACAGCATTCTCTACTGACAAATAAAAAATGTTCATATACCACCTAGGAAGAGGAATCTTGTTTTTCTTTCTCTTCAGACTTCAGTAAACTATAGCCTCTTAACTCTGTTTTGTGATTTATAAATACTGTCATCACAGAGAAGTGCTCCCTGGACTCCCTCAACAATTCATTTAAATTTAATTTTAAAAATAGATGTCAAATTATTTTAAAAGTTGAGTGTGAGGTAATATACACTCAGTTGTATTATGATCACCATTTCACCTTATTGCGGGATGTCACGTGTTAACTCATGTTTCCAGGTTACCTATTGTGAATGCCTTAGAATCAAGTCTTTCATGTGGTGGGAGCATACATGTTCAGGAATGTATCACAAATTTCACTAAAAAGGAAGGTTTCAACTTTCAGTACTTTAAAACATTAACAACAGTAATATGCTCTTTCTTCAAGTTGTCAAAGTGAGGACTCTACATTTTTAGTGTAGATGGAAGATTTTCTTGGTAGAGAGTAACCAAATCAATTTGAGAAGAAATTTAGATACTAGCATTGATATGACTATAATTTAAATTTTGGCTTGATATAACATCTTCATTGATTGCCATTTTAATATGTACATGTACATATTACATGTAATATGAACATGTAAATCTGCTCAATATAGTCAACATATGCTAGGTATTGTTTTCGTTACTTCATGTATCGGGACTCTGCATGAGACACCACTTAAATTTTATGCAGTTGAGTCCTGGAAATTTCTCTTAACACATTGTTGCTATTCCATTTTTTACTTCATTCTCATACTCCACGGATATTTTAAAAGCATTCTCCCCCAGCCCCCAGAAACCCTGGAGTGATGGAGGGGGCTTTCATCTGAAAAAAATATATTTACTGATTTTACATAGAGTGTATCTTTTTTCCTGGGGCTCCATCTCTTGAGATGGCACTGCACAGATATTGTTGGCTGGATCATAGGGCTATTTGGTGTTCTTCCCAATATCAATATTTTAGTTGCTATTTCATGAGTAGTATTTGGAAGATGATCCAGATCCTTATGCTAATCTCTTTTAGCATATGCAGCAACTGAATGGCATGTGTAGCCTCTCTCAGGGGCAGGATAAATGTGGCATGTGCAGATTGGCTCTGAGGCCCAGACCTTGTGGTTACCCTCATGGCAGGGGTGACTGGCAAGGTGATGCGAAGTATGTGTTTCAGGGTAATGGGTAGAAAAAGGTGAAAAAATTCAGTAAAAAAGCATCACTATATACCTAATACCTGTGTATGTTTATTAATACCCATTAGAACCTGTTTTTCAAGAAAGGCATGTGTCCATTCTTTTCTATTTATAGGTGATCATGGAGGAAGCACTTTACTCCCACCGAATGTCACAAATGAATTTCCAGAATACGGGACCATGGAGGAAAGTGGAGAAGGCCTGAATACTTCTCTTGCATTGGACACAGCGTCCCCTGCATGCAACCCACGAGACCAGCTTCCTGCTGGTCACCACTCTGGGCTCCACAGTATTACAGAAGGACCAGATGATGTCAGAGAGCCCCCCTCTCAAAGTCACCTCAAGGAACAAAGTTTACAACCCACTGACTCTTTGATCTCAGCTCTGAAAGACACAGAAGCCAGAATAACTTCAGAAATATTACAGGTTACAAAGGTATTGGACAAAGATGCTGTTTCTGGTTTTTCAGTTCACCTGGTAGACAAGGAGCCAAACACTGCCAGTCACAGAACACAGAAAGCCAACAGACTGTTCCCTGACAGCCAAGAAAAATCGCCACATATACCTCTTTCAGCTGATGTAACAATGGGGGGTAGTTTTTATCCTAGTGTCCAGAAGGACCTGTCTACACAGTCTACTGGAGAGACTCAGGAAGTGCTTTCTCAGACAACTAGTGATAGAAGGAAAGGGGCTCTTCATGTGCAGGAGCCATCTTGTCCTGTGTCCATTCCAGGGAGCTCAGGGGCAACCCATAACTCTACTGGTAGCATTGGCGTTCTGAGGGACAGAAGGTCCGATATGGGGGGAGAACCCACAAGGAGCTCCACAGGGCGCCCCGGCCGGGTGAAACACGTGGAGTTTCAAGGGGTGGAAATATTGTGGACAGGAGGGGAGAAAAAAGAGGCACAATATCCTGTGGATTTTGAGATATTGTCGGAAAGGACAGGCTCTCTTGAAGGCAAAGAGTTTTCTAGGGTGCCAGGCCATCTTTCAGCTGCCAGCTTGTGTGATTCAGTAACTGAGAGTGTTTGGGATGAAACCTGGAAAGGTTCAGTTGAGAGACCTGGCACTAGCTCAGGGCCATTTTCCCCTGCGCCTCTTGCTGAGAGTGGAGAGGATGAAGTCTTCGTAAAGGAAAACAAAGAACATCTTGAGAAGAAACCAGAGCTGGAGAGAGACAAGGAGAGGTAAGCTCTCACAGTAGTTCTGCTGGCTGAGACACCTGGCAGATATTTAGGAAACTGTCTCATGCTTGGCTGGCTCTGAGATCACAATTCACAGTGTCCTGGGTCTTTATTACCATAAAGAGTGGAAGAGCAATTACTATAAGCTAGGATCCTTCTACATTTCTAAGTTAGCAGAGTTATCCTTTATAAACTTGTCTTCTGTTAAGCTGCACCTAGGGTTGTGGAGAGTCTGCGAACACCAAACTGTATGGATCCTTTTCTGACATTCTGACATTTTGGCAGGTTTCAGGTTTTCCAACATCAAGACAACTGAAACACCCCACAATTATCTTTAGCAATAGGAAACAATTTGGACTCTTGACATATCTTTTAGTCATTGCATCCTAACTTGGCAGCTCTTCTGGGTGTAACCCTAGTGCCTACACGCCCTGAAGCATGTATGAACATGTGGACTGATACTATTTTCTAGAAGGGAGGTGAGAAGGTCAGAAGTGGACTCTATAGTTCTTTTGTTCCACGGCACTGACATGGGAACCCCATGTTACAAGTAGTATTTGTTATTCGATATGACCTGAGAAGTTAAACTTTGGTTGGCATTGCAGTAGGTCCTGGGTAAAAGGAAGATGTGGCCCATCTCTCTATTTCCTTTGTTCATAGCCTGACCACTCAGTATTCCATGTGGCAAAGTCATTTGCACACTGTCATTTTCACTGTGTGCTATCTTTCCTTCTACCAGTCATTGTGACACATTTTATAGTTTGTATAGGACATATGTAGTAAGGCTGAAGGGCTTTTTGTGTTTTGCTTATTTGTTTGGTATCAAGAATGGTCTTTTCCTCGTTAGTTAATTACATCCACTGAGAGCTGTACTTATTGAGGATGGCTATCAGGACACCTTTTCTTCCGCTCTCCTCTCTCCCCCAATACAAACCGTCTGTAGACTTCCCTCAAAAGCAGGCCGTGTATGTGGCACATGACTCAGCAGTCATATTGCCAATGAAATATGGATGTTTGCTATTGTGCAGATTAATTATTCCTCCTTTCCACATGTTTTTCTTTTCTTTTTTTTTTACATTTTAAAAAGATGGCCCTCCCTGGTGGCGCAGCAGGTTAAAGCACAGCACTGAGAATCTAAAGCCGCTTCCGCATGAGTTCGATTCCCGCCTACCCCGGAGGAGACCACATGGCGTGGCAGACCTCTCCTGACCCGCCCGCTGCTCCCCTCAGCAGTGTACTTCGTTGATCTGCCTGTTCTGTTCCCCACTCTGTCTCTGATGAAGCCTCTCACCGCCCCTGAGCCTCTGGCCTGTACCCCAGTTCTGTATGCACAAATAAATAAATCTTTAAAAAAAAAAAAAAAGAAAGCTTATTAGGTAAAAGATAAAATTAAAAAAGAGGCACCTGCATGGTCACAGGTGGGCGAGAGCTGCCCCCACATTGTTTTTCTATTATCTGTTGTGTCCTTGCTAGCTGTTGGACATAAAGAAATGTTCAGAATAGATATACTTTATGTTCACTGTCTCATAAAGTTTACCGCTAAAGATAAATGCTAACCACATAAACACATGAGTAAATAGAGGGTCACCAATTTTGCTACTTTCCCTGAAGAAGAACAGAGATATTAAAAGGAGGAATGATTTGAATGGAGGAGAGAGGCTAATTCAGTTGATGGCTTAGAGAACATCTTTCTGTAAAATGATAATTAGACTGAAAGATTAAGAAGGAAGAATATTCTAGATAGAAGAACATGTGCAAAGGAGGGTTCAGGAATGTGTAACTGTATGTGCTTTCTGGAGGTGAGTGAAGTAAAGGCTTTGTGGCAAGTTTGAAGATTTGAAACTCCACCATTATGTCTGAAGCATGGGGATGTGCATGGGGTGGTGGCGAGTGTGGAAGAAAGGAGCTTCATCAGGGGAACTTTATTTTTGATTCTTAAGTGCAAGAAAAAGCCATGGAGAAGTGTTAATCCAGAACAATGTTTGGTACATATACATAGTAGAACTTCAGAGATTTATAAGTAGCCAAGATGCTGTATTGCTGAATGTGAATGCTGATAAGACCTAGGAATGTGGCTTACTTATGAGGTAGTTCTACACATATTCCTATTTATAGAAATGTGAACTTCAGAGAGAGGTTCATTAAAGTTTCTTAAAGTGACATAGCTAGTAACTGGCATATCCATGACTCAGCACCTGGTTCTTCTAACTCTTGACCTCTTGTTCTTACTAAATTTTTAAATTTTTCTTAGTTATCCTGAATGTTCAATTTTAGTATTTGAAGAACATGTTGAACAAAATTAATTAATGCCCCTCTTGTATAATTAAAAAAATATTTTTAGGTTTTCTCTGTTTTGGCTCGCCTTATGATAGATAAATGTGTTTGTTGTTCCTCACACACCCCCACTCCAAAGGGTCATTGATTAGCCCTGTAATCTCCCTGCAGCATTGCCTTATTGTCAGCAGGGGGCAGCCCTTGGATTCTAATCTATCCATTCTTCCTAAGGCATACGATTTTATTTAAATCAAAAAGTAGTAATAGTCTAATGACAGTTTAGTGTATTTTTAGTCTATTAAGCTAACAGCATATTTATGTGCTTCATAAAATTAAGAATGATGGTAGCGGTAAGAAATCTGAATATGTGGAGTTTATTTGGCTAAAATAAGAATTTAATATTTTGCTCAAATATTCATTGGAAAAATGTGTTTGCCTCCTAAGAAACTAACTTGAACCTATATTGAATTACTGGGAGGCCAGTTCAGCACATGTATATTAAAAGGTTTTTTTGTTTGTTTGTTTTTAAACCAGGATATGTTTCTTTGCTATTTTTTAACATTTATTAGGACATAACTCCAGTAAATGAAAATATTAGCTCTATGGAATGCTATAATTTTGTAAAGCTGATGGAGGAAAATAAAAGAAAAAATCAGCTACTATAGAAATTCTGCATTCTTATTACCTTTCCAGGATTCTTGATCAAGAGGAGCATTATAGGGGAGGAGAGGATGATATCCTTGGGTCCGGATATGCAGAGGATTCCACTGATGTGTACAGCTCCCAGTTTGAAACCATTTTGGACAACACTTCTTTATACTACAGTGCTGAATCCTTGGAAACATTATACTCAGAGCCTGATAGCTATTTTAGCTTTGAAATGCCCCTGACGCCAATGATACAGCAACGCATCAAGGAAGGCGGTCAGTTCCTCGAGAGGACATCAGCAGGAGGACAGCAAGACATCCTGAGCGTCTCAGCAGATGGTGGAATAGTGATGGGCTATTCCAGCGGGATCACCAATGGGCTGGATGACGCCAGTGACACCATCTACTCGAAAGGCATCCAGGAGATTGCTTTCTGGGGAAGGTACTAGTTCCATTCTCATTAATTTCATGCTGGTGGTTTTTGTAGCATTTTCTATTTGGAAATCCAAGTGTGTAATATATTTGAAAAGCATTTGGCCAGTTTCTATGGATATAAGCAAATGATGCGGATGAAAAGTAATTTCAGTCTTAGGGGCAAGCAGAATATACTGCCAAATCGGCAAGCTGTGGTCATTCTATTGGGTGGTATTTCCTGGGTTACTCCGTATAAATTGGATCTGATGAATATTTGTGGGTGGTGAGTAGGTGTTGTCTCTGCTGAGGCAGTGGCTCAGGGCTGAAAAGAACACTGAGAGAGCTTGGCTTTCCTTCTGCCGCTGACATTGGTTGATGGCGTTGTTTGATTTAGCCAGAGATTCCTTGTAAATTGGGGATGCTGGATTAGATGGTGATCAGTCTCTTGTAGCCCATTGCTCTGTGAGGTCCTGTTCTGCTGGGCAATCTCCCTTTTGTGGGATGTGGGAGTCGGATCTGTTTATATGGAGGCTGGCTAGACTATAAGTATTTTCTCTTTCTCCTTTAAAGTTTCCATGGGAGCTAAAATGACAAATTATATAGGTAATATGTACCATGCCTGGCTTTCAGTGATTTCCTGTCAATTCTTAGATTACTCAGTGTTTCCTTTCCATTTGCTCATCATCCTCAGGCCATTTATCTGTCCCTTAGCATCTTCACCATGGCAGAATGTTAAACTTCATTTATAAATTCAGTTTTGATAGTTTTCCTGGATGAAAGTGATTTTGTGGTAGGAGAGGTGGAAGACAAGTTAAATGGTGATAAATTATTTCGAAGAAAACTGTCAGTAATTTTTTTAAGTCAATTCATTTTACAGGTTTCCAAATAACTTCTCTTTAAGTTGTCCTGTATTAAGCATTTCTATAACCAAAGTGTATAGATTTATAATTAACAGGATGAGCATGTGTAAGAGTAGCAAATGCACAGTTACTATTCTCTTGTAACTGTTCATTTACAAGTGAAGTCACTGCAGATGTTGCTTGTCTTAAGAGGTCCCAGTGAGACAATGAAAAGAACAGAGTTGTCATAAAGCAGGAGACCTTGGTCTGACTTACTTGGGCAATCTACTTAGTCTTTTGGAAGATGTTTATTTGCAAAATGGGGCTAATGATATTCAGTGCCATCTGTGTCTGTGCTATATAGAGGGTTGTTACAGATTAAAGCACCTAACATGGTGCCTGGTACATAGTAGGGGCATGAATAGATGTTTGAATTTGAATTGGTTGGCAGATAAACCGCATTTAGACTTTATCTCTGAGAACTGAGGGATGTCCCTGAGAGGAGCGCATCCCCGAGAAGGAGTCCTTCTGTTGCACCAATATTATAGGATTGATTATGCAGACAACTTCACTGAAATTCCAGTCCTACTTTCTGGGGTAACTGGAAATTGTTTATATTGCTGACCAAAAACAGGTTGGACAACTGAAGTGTTTTGAGCTGAGAGGCTTTGCTGCAAAAGCCACAGGAAGGGTGAGTAAATGAAGACAGGCATAAATATTAGTGAGTCAGAACAGGAAGACATTAGCCAAAAGCTTTTTAAATGCAAGCTTTGCAACACCCAGATAGGAAGTAGTCATCACTTGTGCCAGCATTGGTGCCGGTCATTAGCAAGCAGCGTTCAGTAGTTGGGAGTGTGGGGGTTGGCTGCAGGACTTAGCAGCTCAGACTTAGACAGGGGTATAAAGCAGGCCTTCTTGAGTTAAAGTTTCAGCTTGTCACTTACCCTGCCACTAGTGAACTCTTGTCCAGCCATGAGGTCATACCTCAGTTCTCAAAGAGAAGCTTCTGAGAGATGAATCCAGTGGGCTCCTCCATGGGGCTTCCAACTAGTGATAAGTCCTCTCTTCCCTTAGCACTACTAGTGATATGGACAGATGAGCTGGGTGGGCACACCATTTTGTTCTTGAGTTGGCATAAGGTAGTGTTTACAGGTGAGGCTCTGTTTGCCCTCTGTTTAGGGTTAAAAAAAGTAGAATAGGCTCTGGCTCTCCCTGGTGGTGCAGCAGGTTAAAGCACAGCACTAAGAAGCTAAAGCCGCTTCCGCATGAGTTCGATTCCCGCCTGCCCTGGAGGTGACCACATGGCGTGGCAGACCTCTCCTGACCCACCCACTGCTCCCCTCAGCAGTGTACTTCGTCTGTCTGCCTGTTCTGCTCCCCACTCTGTCTCTGGTGAAGCCTCTCGCCACCCCTGAGCCTCTGGCCTGTATCCCAGTTCTGTATACACAAATAGATAAATCTTTAAAAAAAAAAAAAAAAGTAGAACAGGCTCAATGATCTTAGGAAATTTAAAGTACCTGGTAACGCTCATGTTTTCTTTACCCCTCTGCCCTCTTGATGCTTTGGAGAAGTTACAGCACCAGAGGAACTATTAATATCGCAGGTTGAAGAATTATGACATCTTGCAGTTTGAAGGGGACCTCAGATAACCTTATTTTAAAGTAAAGAATCCAAGTTTCAGTTTGGAGGGGTGACTTTACCCAGAGCCACATGACATGCTAGTGACAAATCCTGTACCGGAATTGTTCTGAGCAGGTGCAGTCACTGTTCATGGTTGCCAGGCCTTAACGTTCTCCTTTTCTAAAATCTAATTTCTTTTATTCCATATATAGATAAGTCTAGAAGTGTGAGCTGGTAACCATAAACTTGGTGGTTGTTGGTGGTACTGGTGTAGGTATTCAACTTGAGAAAAAAACTTACCAAATCTTTAATAAACATGCCTCATGAATTTTTTTGAAGATTCATTTATTTATGCATACAGAACTGGGTAAAGACCACAGGTGCAGGGGTGGTGAGAGGATTCACCAAAGACAGAATGGGGAGCAGAACAGGTAGACCTGCTGAGGGGAGCAGCGGGGCAAGTCAGGAGAGGTCTGCTGCGCCATGTAGGTCACCTCCTCTGGGGTAGGGGGTCGAACTTGCACTGAAGTGGCTGTGGCCAGCTTGCAGTGCTGCGTCCTAACCCATTGCGCCACCTGGGAGGGCCCTCCATGAATTTTTAATGCAATCAATGAGGAAACCTTTAAATTTTTTTTTCTGCATTAAAGCATCCTACTTCAGAGATGAGGAAGGAAGTAGACAGTGGTATTGAGCCTGCTGAGGACATCCAGACCAGGATGGCGGTTGCCTCACTGACTTTCCTCGACACGCTCTCAGAGACAAAGTGATAGGATTCAAAGGCAAAAAAATTATTTTTCCAACTTTGCTAATAAATGCAGTATTTAGACAGTAAAAGTAGAGCATCTTGTTTCTGTTTACTAGTCTTTCCTGTGTTTTTGGCAGTAACTGGGGGAGGGGTTTGATCAGGTTAAACACAGTGAAGTCTGCAGGCACACAGGGAAGGGGATGACGGGACTACCCTTCGGTCCTCCGTGATAACGAGTCTGATTCTCGCTAGACATGATCCAAGAAAATTAAGCTCCTCCATATAGAGGTATTCATTTTACTACATAAAATGTTCCTTGTCAACCAGTCAAAAATATAAGGTCTCTAGAGATAGTCTCTGAGCATGATTTCATATTGCAAGCATCATATGTATCCCACAGGGCTTATTTGAGTAGCCCCTTGTTAATGCCCACAGTAACCTGGGGGGAAGGAACTGTGAATATTCTCATTTTCCAGATAAGGAAACTGAGGTACAGAGCAGTTGAGTCACTTGCTCAGTTACACAACTGGTAAAAGATCCATCCAGGATTTGAACCCAGGCACTCAGGCTCCAGAGCCCATTTATTTTGAACTTGAAGCTCAGATATTTGTTTGTCATTACCTTGGGATACTTACAAATCCTTTTCATTTTCAGTCTGTCAGTCTCACATTACTTTTGTCATTAAAAGAGGAGTTGAGTGGCAGTATTTGACAGTCATTTCCTCAGAACCCAGGATGGCACTGTTCTCTTTGCCTTGCTTCTTTAAAAAAAAAAAAAAAAAAAGAAGAGGGAAATGAGCAGGTTCTAACACTCAGCAAGTCTTACTTCTCTCAGGAACACCTTTCAGTCTCAGATCTGGCCACCTTGGTAGTCAGACAGGGGTTATTATTCCCTGTTACTTTCTCTACTTAAGTCAAAGAAGAAAATACTTCAGCCATCTAGTGTCAGGTTGCAAAGCGTACTTTTTGTAGAGTATGTATGCTCTTAATATTTGTATTTTAAAGGATTATATACTTTTTGATATCAACAGATCCCTCTTTGTAAGTGAAAAAGCCTCTTAAAACTTTGGAGAAATCTAGACGTAAACAGTTAATTCTCTCAGGCACTTTGCATGCTCTGTACCCTGAATGTTGGCCAGGGAGTTGCATGTGGGTCAGAAAACAGCTCACTGTATGGATGCCACAGCATTTTAATGCAGGAGCACGGAGTAGCATCTCCTCCCTTTGTGGTCCAGCTACATAGCACTCAGGCTGACGGGGTCAGCAGTGCTGTGTGAAGTCCAGTCACGTGGCTCCAAAATTAGAAAGGATAATTAGAGACTAGACTTACAGTTACACATGTTCCAATGGGTTCCTTTGTGTCTGAGTGCTTCTCTCGCGCTGGCCCATCAGCTGATGACCACAGCTCCAATCAGTAAGTTCTGACCTGAACACTGAAAGGCACAAATGTTGTCATTGTAACCATGAACGGGGCTGAAGATTGTCCATTTCTACTGAACTTGAGTTTGGACAGATAGGAAAAAAGAAGTAGCAAATACAATAACAGGACAGGAACTTCTTTTAAGGTTCTTTGAAAATATAAACTGTTTTTAAAAATTACCTTTGTACTAATACCTAGTGTGACTGGAATTTTTCATTTCACAGCTTCCTAATTTTTCCTTCAGATGTCCCTCAGTACAGCAGAAGGGGTGGATTGTATCTGTGTGCAGCTCATAGGCCTGGGGAAAGTGCTTTCCCAGGTCTTGTGTCCACTGGAATTTGATAATTGTGGTTTTCGGACTTCCTCTTGGCTTTTCCCCCTTCTCAAATGGAATGCTGGTTTTTT